GTAAATCCAGAGATGAACAGTGTAGTTTTTATACTTCCAGCGGTGTGTGGCAGCACGTAAGTAGGTTTCTGGAGGCGAGTTTTCTGGTGGTGGGTCATGCTGATGTTCTGAGGTGAGCAGCAAGATTGATTTTGAAAGCACACAAAAAGCCTTTGAACATAAATAAGTGCCTGAAAAACGTTCCAGGAAACTTCACCCCAGAAAACTAAAAATGAATAAAATGAAAACTAGTATGATACCCGTGTGATTCACGGGACATTAATTTTTTTATGAATAGTTATTCTAAAATTTATAGAAAACAATTAAGATGAAAGCAAAAAAGGACTAAATCAACGTTCACCCTTAAACAATAATAATATATACTTGGGAAAACTGTCAAATAGGTCCTCGAACTTTCATAAAAAGGTCAACTAAGTCCTTATATAGGAGGCTCCGTCCGGCCGTCGCAATTTGGGACGGTTCCCGGTGGAATTTTTTGATTAAATTTTTTGAGCATCTTATTCATCAAGTCTAGTTTACTCATACCAAATTTCAGCTAAAACTTCAATCGGGAACACATTCAAATTAATTCTTGAAAATAACTGTGCAGTTATATGAGCAATTATCTTCAAGAATTAATTTGAATGCGTTCCCGATTGAAATTTTAGCTTAAATTTGGTATGAGTAAACTAGATTTGATGAATAAGATGCTCAGAAAATTTCATCAAAAAATTCCACCGGGAACCGCCCCAAATCGCAACGGCCGGACAGAGCCTCCTATATAAGGACCTTTTTATGAAAGTTCGAGGACCTATTTGACAGTTTTCCCTATATACTTCATACTTTAGAAATCATGTTAAGCAATACCATTATCGAAATCTACAATGAAAAAATGCAAAGTTTCGTTTGCACCCAAAGTGATTTTCATTATGTGTTACGTTCAAATAATTGCTATTGTAAAATTGATATCTGCACGTTATGTATTATTACTGACTTACGGTATTTATGAAGTTAATGATATTGTTGGTACCTTGTATTTGCACAAATGTGCATTTGTTTAATAATATAATAGTAACAACTCCAACATAAGGCTATGATTGTCCCCACTTTTCTTCTTAATTGTCATAGCGATGCAACAATCATATGAATGGATCACTGAAACTTAAAAATCACTCTCAGATATCAAGTTGAAGATTTCTAAAAATTACTCTCATATACTCTCTCCGTCCCGCTAAGATTGTCTCATTTTACCTTTTCGGGACGTCCCACTAAGATTGTCCCATACCAAATTTGGTAAAGTTTGTGTGGCTCTAAATCATTCTTACTTTATCAATTTAATACCAACCACACAAACCCACTTTTCTTAATAACTGTGTCACTTTCTCTTGTCCCAATCTTAGTGGGACGGAGGTAGTACATACTATATGGCTCTGATACCATGTAAAACATATGACTCGTTGGTTACAACAATAGCTATATTTATTGATATCAAACACAAAGTTTTGTATGCTAACGCTTCATACTTCTTTAGCAAGATGTGATTTGAGCTCTTACTGGTCAGAATGATGGACTGATAAACAATAATAGAAAGCAGATGCTTTCTATTCTAAGTGGATAGGCACTGCTTTGCTACTCTGAAAGCATAACTATTAAACAAATAGAAATCACAATATAGTGATTGTCAAAATTCTATCTTGTGCTGAGAGATAATGATATGGAAGGTCTGGAGGGCAGCAAAGATCAGTGACAAGCTGCTAAGTCACAAAAATTGTGTGTTACATGAGAGAGAAAGAGAGAGAGAGAGCAGACGAAGCCGCAGCACAGATAGAAGGCTTGACTTTTAGATTTGAAACTAATTTCATTAAAAGCTTTCAATAGCCTTCATATTCATACGCTTGAGAAGTAACTAGAGAGTTTCATGATCTACAGCTAGGAGCCAAACAAGAAACTATTCAGCAATAGCAAATGACCCTCGATTTCAGCTCATGTTTAAACATTAAATTTACACAATGTGAAGCTTACCTAGTTATAACTTTTTCTTGTTATATTTTATGGAAAAGGCCTCCACAAAGCAAACTTCCACCTAAAATGTTATGTATGAAAATAACTTGCAGAACAGAAGCCTACATCATAAGAAGCATACCTTACTCCGAGCCAAGCTTCCCCAAACTGTTGCTAAACCAGGATAAACCGGTGCTTGGCGACCACCAAAATCATCAAAAGCATAGTCTACGTAGCTTACAAGGTAAACATTTCTTTCAGCTTCATCAACTGACTCTTGATGCACCCTGAAATTATTGCCAGAGTATCATGCATACAAAGATAACCCTACTTACAAACAAAATACTCCCTCGGTCCCTTTTATGTGTCTTACTTTCCTTTTCGGGTTGTCCCAAAATAAATTTCATGTTTCCCTTTTTGGAAAGAAATATGTGGTTCATATAATTTCACTTTATTCTACTCAAGTCAACCACAACTTTACTTTTCAACCACATTATTAATAATTGTGTCAAACCAAAATAGGACATAAAATGGGACGGAGGTAGTACTAAAAAAGAAATACAAATCCAAATGCAATTGTTCAGCATGTAACTAAATATCGTTCTACTTTCTCTTAACCTCACTCACATGGGAACACATTGTTCCTATGATAGTTCACAAATATACCTTGTTAAAATGTTAACCATAGCTCTGAAGGCTGCAACCTGAAGAAGTAAATGGGAAAATGTTTATAGTCTGTCAGCTATACACAAGTAGTCACTTAGTCTCTACTAGTATTTCACCCGTGCGATGAACAGTTAGCAAATTTAAACAAAATAATTAAGAGTAGCTATATTATATAAAGATACAGAATAGATACATGCAAAAAACAAATTGTAAATTAAATACATAATGAAAAGTCATATTGTGGAAAGTGGAAACATGCCATAAGAGTTCTAAATAATTATTGAAAATTATCTTCTCTAAAACTTAAAATAAGTCTCAAGTCTGAGAGAGTACATGGTAAACCTAGGAATCAAGACCCATTGATCCACTCCTAGTGAGAAGTTTTGCCTCAATAATTATATAACAATTTGTATTTTTAAATAAATAAGAATTAAGTTCTTCAAAACTGATCATTCTTATTATTAAATAAGAAGCAATTTTAAATTAATTTAAAGTTCATTTGTTGTTAAATATGGAGTATTAAAGATAGTATATGTTTAAACATGTGAGGTTAGATGAATCTGAAATCAAAATAGTGCTGAAGCCAGTGTCGAACTTAAGAAATTAACCTAATAAACATACTTGGTACAAATACAAAACCATAGGCAATAAAAATGTTCGTCTCCCCAATCCCCACTTCTCTCTCCTTCTCCATACATCTCTATAATCTTCTTCACAGGAACCTGTCTTTCTCAACACCAAATTATAATTCCCTCTTGATTTATCCACCAGAAATCTCCCCATCTACCATCAACTACTCTATCACAATACATTATATGGCATGCTAGATCTAACATTAAATCTTAAATTTTAAGTGTTTCTTTAACCAAATCTATGAACTGCAAACATATAGCATTCTAAATTTAAAATTTGAAACAAAAAGTTAATTAAGAGAAATAACAATCTCATTGAAAATATGTGAGTGCTCCCAAGAACCATATCCGAAAGGCTAAAGGGTCAAATAGGTACATGAACTAACTTAAAGTGTTCAATTAGCCCCTTATATAGGATGTTCTGCCTGGCTGTCGCCAATTGAGGCGGTTCCCGGTGGAATTTTTTGATGAATTTTTTTGAGCATCTTCATCATTAAGTCTAGTTTACCCATACCAAATTTCAGCTGAAAATTCAACCGGGAAGGCAGTCAAATGATTTTTTGAAGATAACTGCACAGTTAAACAGCGCAGTACATTTCGGAAAATCATTTGAATGCCTTCCCGATTTAATTTTTAGCTGAAATTTGATATGGGTAAACTAGACTTAACGAAGAAGATGCTTAAAAAATGTCATCAAAAAATTCCACCGGGAACCGCCCCAATTGGCGACGGCCGGGCAGAACATCCTATATAAGGGGCTAATTGAACACTTTAAGTTAGTTCATGTACCTATTTGACCCTTTAACCTATCCGAAATAAAGAATCACTTGCCAGGATGAATTGCTTCGACAACAGCCACAATTTCTTCCTTAGCTCGCTCAAACATATTTGGTCCTTTGATTTCATCCACTGGTGTGTTCTCATCAATTCCTCCACTCCTTCTATTTCCTTGTCAAGGTGAACCTCTTTCTTAGTTTTCTCTTGCTGTTTGGGCATATTTCTGAACGTGCGGATTCCGCCATGACAGTGTATTAGTTACAAAATAATATAGTCATGCGTATGTAAATACCGGAAGTCCTAAACCCCGACAAACATGTCTTCTTCTTGAAGTCTGCAAGTCGCACAGCCAGAGCCCATAGACACACGAAGGTCGCCAGTCCGCCACTCGCCTCTTCGACCGTAGCCTGTTGTCCGCTGCCGCCTGCATTACCACCGTTCCACCTGCGTCACCGCCATGCCGCCTGGGTCTGCCAGGCAGCCCGCCTACTCTCCCAGGCAGCCCAGCTGAATTGCTGGCCGAGTCAGCGACGGCGCCGATGGACCAATAATCCTGCTCCGGCCACTCGCTTGCTGCCTTGCTCCGGCCACTTGCTTGCTATCCTGCTACGGCCACTCGCTTGCTGCCCTGCTCCACCGCCGTTCTTTCTAACCCTCTCTCACACTCTCAGATTTAACTCTGATTGCAGTTTATGGCAAGGTACGTTGCATGCATACAGCTAAGATTATTAAATCCCAAGCTCCCCTTTTAATGTGGTCATTTCACATCTTTTCCCATTAAAGAGAAATGACAATAAAGTTTTTGGAGTTTCAATGCAATAACTCATCTCGATAGCCTTATTATTTTGACTGGGTTGACCTGTTTTTAGACCATCTCTACCGGTATCTTTTGGAGGGAAGTTGGTCACATTTTCCACGAAGCTTGGGTTGATTAATAGTTAATGCCCCGTAGCGGGTGTGGTTGAGAGGTAAAAAAGGAAGAAGATTGAATCGGCAAAAACGAACAACTTCCTCCAGGCAAGAGAAGGTGAGCTCTGACCTAGAGTCAAGACTCTAAGGATTAACTCCAAAATTATTCACCAAAACAACACTGAGCAGAGCACCTCGAATTATATTCCAACATCCAAGAGCCTCGGTGGACCAGTACTAAAGTGACCCTAAACTTATTATGTTAAGTATACGGAAATCTAATGGGAAATTGAAGTAGAATTGAGATGAAATTGATGAAACTTGAAAAGAGATCGATACAATTGGAGACACTTCGAGTAGTCTCCCGCACTCCCAAGACCGAAGTCCCCAAACTAATTCCTGCCTGCCCATCTCTTCACCACTCTCACTTATTTATTCTATTTCTAATGGGCCAGCCCACTATTACATTTTATTAAAATACTCAGTATTATTTCCATTATATCTCACTCCATAAACCCATAAGTCCTGGTCCCTATCATCACTCCCCCCTTTGACAATCACCTTGTCCTCAAGGTGGGGAGTAAGAGCAGCCATGCCATCCAGCTTCATCCTCGTGCCCCTTCCTTCCCAGTACCTCACCGATTTCAGTGCCTTTAGCTCCGGTACTTGAACCTTTGTCATCCATTCCTCCTGGCATTTGCTGAAACTTTTCCAAAAATCTTCTAAATTAGATAGTTGTCTCCATTGAACCAAAATTTATTTATTTCTTTGTAATGCAAAAGATTTGACTCCTCCTGCATGCTCTTGATCCTTTTCAATGACATAATACCCTTCCATGCATCCAGCATATCTGTACCCAAATCCACTATATTCTGCATCGCCGTTCATACCTACTTTGCTGTAAAGCCACTGAGTTCCAGTAGCAGGGTAGTACATGGATATTATTCTGCCATCGATCCCGTGAACCACTTTCAACTCCCAATCCTCACCTTTTGGTACATCCAGATCATTACCTGAGTGCAGAACCAAACTAATAATAGATAGTTGGCTGGGAATCAATTGCACATAGTCGGGAGGAACATAATATGGCAATTGTACAACATGTCTTTTCTCTGCCTCACATTTCAGCTCAGACTTGTAACTATATTCATCCCCTATGCACATGTAATGAGTGTCATGGCTAACAGAGAATGAGGTTATGTTTTGCCCCCACTTCAATATAACAAACAAGTGTTTGTTTTCCCGACTCCAAACCTGAATTTCATTTTCAGAAGTGACATGCCGGACTCTACCCAAAAACGAGTTGAAGAATTCCAGTGAACCTCGAGATACATCCAGAACTGTGCGTCCAATAGAACCAGGTAAGGCAGCAACCAAAGTCCTCATGGGAAGTACCCGAACCTCCATAGCACAAGATTCCAACACCCTGACCAGTGGCTGAACTTCATGAGCATAACTGCCAGGCCCCTCAAGTAGTTTCTGTTTATGACATGATTGACATCCACCTATCTGTTCAGCCTTACCAATCTCAGGCATAGCTGAAATGTCAGAGTTTTTAAAAACAATTGGTCTACCAGTTTCTTCTGTTAAAATTTCACCCAAGAAGTACCAGAATTTCTTAGAGTAGTGAAAGGCACCCTCCTTGTTCACTTTCACACTAATGGCAAAATTCCTACTAGCACAAAAACTGTCAACAGTAATCTCCTTCCCCTTTTCTTCCCTCATAGGCTTGACATCTGAATTAGTGACCTTCACCTCAGATAAGATATCACAGGCAGCAAAATGTTTATAGGAAGCAAAGTGTTTATAGGATGTGTTGACTTCTTCATGAGGATTGATGTGGACCGAACTGAGAGATGCTTTCTCTGAAGGAGTGTTCAGCATCTCAACAGGTTGTAGAGGAATTGAAGAATCCGGATGCTCCTGCTCATGAGTTATCTGTGACATTGCAATTAAGTGATCTTGCATTACTCCTTCGATCAGAGGTTGTGTTAACTGATATCCTGAGACATTTTTACTTCTCCATGGTGGCCAAACTACATCACTGCCATCCTTGTGTATACCAGCTTCGTCAAAGTTTACTCTGAAAGTCAGTGCCCTGTCCCTTACTGCCTCAAGTACCTCACCAGAGGCAGAATTTGTTTTTATGCCCTGAACCTCAACATTATCATCCCCTTTAATATGCTCATCAGAAAATAAGGAGCTGTAAGAAACTTCAACTGCTTTTGACAGTTCACCTGTTGATCTAGGATTGACAGTCACTCCAAACAGTCTCATATTTAACACTCTCGGAACCTCAGTGTCTGGCTGTAGCCTAAGATTTTGACCATATGAAGCATTTGGGTTATTACCATATTGAGAAGTTACCGGCTGAACTCTACACTCAACCAAGTTGAAGAGTCCCATAGAACATCGAGAACAATGAGAATCTGAGCATCCAAGAGGAACAGGGACTGCATTTGCGCCAACTTCAAGTCCAGCTACCACTGACGATTTCTCCTCACTGATATCGCTCTCAGTGAACTTCACTGCTTTTTCTCCTAATTGCGAAGCACTCTCATCATCAGAGGAAGGTTGCCGCCCACTCACAGACTCCTGTCGGACGGATGAAACCTGCTCACAGGGAAAAGTGTTTTGTCACAATACCTGCGAACAGGGAGATTCGTCTCTCGATTGAGTAGCACTGACAGCAGATGAAGAAACATGCGAACTGAGATAGCCTTCTGTGAATTTCGAACTGGGATAAACTGATGGCGACAGCGACGGAGCAAGTTGCGGAGCTTGCGAACTGTGAAAGACATTGGAATATGCTGTATAATATGCTTTAGAATATTCTTCTATCTTTAGAATATGCTTTAGAATATTTTAGGAATATACTCTAAGATATTATTATTGTATAGCATCTTATAGGAATATTCTATCTTTGTAATGTATATATATAGGGACTTATCCCTCCAATGAAATACACAGAAAATTCTTCCATTCTCATTACTATTATATGCTTAATTCTGATAACATGGTATCAGAGCCTCCATTTTAGTTTAGTTCCTTTTCTTTTAGATTTTAGCTTAGTTTTTCATACTGGGTTCTTCCTCAAAGAAACCTGAGTTCAGTTCAGATTCTTCAGAACCTCTAGGCACCATTCTGTCTCCCAGGACAGATTTATTTTAGCTCTCTATTCAGAATCTCTGCCAGGTCCGACCATCTACCCGGCGAATTTCCGACTCCGACAATTACTCATTCAGTCTGTGGACATACGCACACTATTTCATGTGGCTGATTATTCGTTGGGGTCTGGCATCTGACTTATGTCTGGAGTAGCAGTCAAAGCCCAAGCAGATTGTATCTTTTGTTCTCAAGCCCAAAACGGGCTGCTGTAAGTTCTCATTAAATTAAATATCTCAATTTTAAACTTTATTACGGTCTCAAAAAAAAAAAAATGCCTGGTTCTGACACTGACACCTCCGCAGTAACACGAAGTCAGCCTTTGATAGTTTCTGAAGTTATTCCCATTAATTTTAAAATTACTGAGAATAAACTTTGTGGCTCCAATTATCTTGAATGGAGTAAAACTATCAAACGTTATTTAAGGAGCATTGATAAATATACCCACTTACTTGATGACCCGCCAAAGGAGGAGGTTGATAGAGCTGCTAATACTGCCTGGCTTCGTGACGATTCTAGATTATTTATCCAGATTCAAAACTCAATGGAGAATGAGGTAATGGGGTACGTTAGTCATTGCGATACTGTGAAAGAATTGTTTGATTATTTGGAATTTATGTATTCTGGAAAAGGTAATCTTAACCACATCTATGAGGTGTGCAAAGCCTTTTACAGAGCAGAAATGAAAGATAAGCCTCTCACGGCTTATTTTATGGATTTCAAGAAAACCTATGAAGAGCTGAATACATTAATGCCATTTAGTCCTGATATCAAAGTGCAGCAGAAACAAAGAGAACAAATGGCAGTGATGAGTTTTTTGGCTGGTCTAACATCTGAATTTGAAACAGCCAAATCACATATCTTATCTAGTGATGAGGTCTCTTCTCTTCAAGAGTCTTTCACTAGAGTGCTTCGCACCGATACTTCATCCACACCATTAGCACCTCAGTCAAGCAATGCATTTGTAGGGCAAGTTCCGACATTCACCAGAGGAGGTGAGAAATATCCATGTACTGGTCCATCTGGCAAAGGCATAGTATGCAACTATTGTAAAAAGCCTGGACACTTGATCAAAGATTGTAGAAAATTAAAATTCAAAAATCAAGGAAATCAGGTTGCTCACATTGCTTCCGTTACACAGTCTTCTGATGGATCAATAAGTATGTCTTCTGAGGAATACGCCAAATTTCTTTGCTACCAAGAGACTCTAAAGCATTCATCTACTCCTATCTCAGCTGTCGCTAATTCAGGTAATCCAAACACATGTCTTGTGTCTTCATCCTCAAAATGGGTTATCGATTCAGGGGCAACAGATCATATGACAGGTAATCCTAGTCTTTTTTCCTCATTCCACACACCTCTTCATACTTCTAGTGTTACTTTGGCTGACGGATCTACGTCACCAGTTCTTGGAACGGGTACAATTGTCCCAACACCTACCTTACCTTTGTCACCCGTCCTAAGTCTTCCAAACTTTGCCTTTAATTTGATTTCGATCAGCAAAATCACACGTAATCTTAATTGCTTTGTAACTTTTTTTCCTGGATATTGTGTTTTTCAGGATCTGGTGACGAATCGGGTTATTGGTAAAGGATATGAGTCGGCTGGTCTCTATCTCTTGGATACATCCTTACCCAAATCCATCTCTTGTCTTGGAGTTGGAACTGTGTTAGAGGCTCATTATCGACTAGGCCATCCCTCTCTCCCGTTGTTAAAGAAACTTCATCCTCAATTTAATAAGGTGTCATCTTTACAGTGTGATTCATGTCAATTTGCAAAACATCCTCGAACTAGTTTAAGTCCCCGAGTCAATAAACGAGCACATGCTCCTTTTGAACTTGTTCATTCTGATGTTTGGGGCGCTTGCCCTGTTGTGTCCAAAACTGGTGTTAAGTATTTTGTTACCTTTGTTGATGATTATTCTCGTATGACTTGGATATATTTCATGAAACGTCGTTCTGAGTTATTTTCTCATTTCTGTGCCTTTTGTGCTGAAATTAAAACTCAATTTAATGTACCTGTTCGTATTTTAAGGGGAGACAATGCTCAAGAATATTTGTCTTCCTCATTTAAGTCGTATATGGCTCAACATGGCATCATTCATCAAACTTCATGTGTAGACACACCTCCACAAAATGGAGTTGCTGAACGAAAGAACAGACATCTATTAGAAACTGCGCGGGCTCTTCTATTCCAAATGAATGTGCCTAAACAGTTTTGGGCAGATGCTGTGTCTACCGCATGTTTTTTGATCAATAGAATGCCATCTACTGTTTTGGATGGTAAAACTCCATATCAGTGCCTATTTCCAAATAATGAAAATTTTCCTATCCCTCCTAAAATATTTGGTTGCACTTGTTTTGTACGAGATGTTAATCCCCATTTAACAAAGTTAGATCCCAAGTCATTAAAGTGCATTTTCTTAGGCTACTCTCGAGTTCAAAAGGGTTACAGATGTTTTTGTCCAAGTACGGGTCAATATCTTGTTTCAATTGATGTCTCCTTTTATGAAAATACACCGTTTTCATCAACAGAGACAAATATTTGTAGGGAGAATGATGATATACTCATTTACACAGTCACTATACCCGAGTCCACTGCTTCAGCCGTTGTTCCACATGTTACTTTTCCTGAGCCTAGGCCCCCGGTACACTTGGTCTACACCCGTCGAAACAAAGTACAAGATCACCCTCCACCTGTGGTTACTTATCCTAATACTGATCCGGTCTCGATCTCATGTCCTGAACCAATACTTGCATCTCCAGATCCTGCCTCTACATCAGATCTTGACCTCCCTATCGCACTACGTAAAGGTACACGGTCTTGTACTCATCCTATTTCTTCATTTGTGTCGTATAATCAGTTATCATCTACCTCATGTTCTTTTATTGCTTCCATTAATTCTATTTCTGTTCCCAAATCTGTTAAAGACGCTTTGTCTCATCCTGAATGGCGTCATGCCATGGTAGAGGAAATGAATGCTTTGGATCTTAATGGTACTTGGGATTTGGTAGACTTGCCTACAGGGAAGAAATCTATTGGATGTAAGTGGGTCTTTGCTGTAAAGGTTAACCCTGACGGATTCGTTGCTCGTTTAAAAGCCCGATTAGTAGCGAAGGGTTATGCTCAAACCTATGGTGTTGATTATTCTGACACTTTTTCTCCTGTTGCTAAATTAACATCTGTCAGGTTACTTATTTCTCTCGCTGCAACTAATGGTTGGCACTTACATCAGTTGGACATTAAAAATGTATTCTTGCACGGTGATCTTCAAGAGGAAGTTTATATTGAGCAACCTCCAGGGTTTGTTGCTCAGGGGGAGTATGGAAAAGTGTGTCGACTTCGCAAGTCTCTTTATGGTTTGAAACAGAGTCCCCGTGCATGGTTCGGGAAATTCAGTCAATCAATTGAACGATTTGGAATGATAAAGGGCAAATCAGATCACTCTGTATTTTACAGACGAACAAAAGCAGGTATCACATTGCTTGTGGTGTATGTCGATGATATTGTGATTACAGGGAGTGATAATGCAGGTATTTTGGCTCTTAAGAATTTTCTTCATAGTCAATTCCAGACGAAAGATTTGGGCTCATTGAAATACTTCTTGGGGATTGAGGTTTTACGAAGCAAGAAAGGCATATTTCTATCTCAACGTAAATATGTGCTTGACTTGCTAACTGAAACAGGGAAACTGGGGGCAAAACCGAGCAATACTCCCATGATTCCCAATGTGCAGCTCACTCATGAAGGCGTACCATTCGAAGATCCAGAAAGATATAGAAGGTTGGTTGGAAAGCTTAATTATCTCGCAGTTACCCGTCCAGATATTGCATACTCAGTGAGTGTAGTAAGTCAATATATGTCATTTCCGACAGTTGATCATTGGAATGCTGTAGAGCATATATTATGTTACTTGAAGGGGACACCAGGACGAGGTATTGTTTATCAAAATCATAATCACATGCGCATAGAATGCTTTGCAGATGCTGATTGAGCTGGATCTAAAGATGATAGAAGATCCACATCTGGCTATTGCGTCTTTGTTGGTGGAAATCTCGTCTCTTGGAAAAGTAAGAAGCAGAATGTGGTTTCTCGTTCGAGTGCTGAATCAGAATATCGGGCTATGGCACAATCGGCATGTGAGATAATCTGGATAAACCATCTATTGAGTGAAATCGGACTGAAGACACCAATGCTTGCTAAACTCTGGTGTGATAACCAGGCTGCTATACACATTGCCAACAACCCAGTGTTTCATGAGAGAACAAAACATATTGAGGTCGATTGTCACTTTGTTCGAGAAAAGATACAACAAGGATTGATCTCTACAGGATATGTGAAGACGGGAGAGCAACTTGGAGACTTGTTCACTAAAGCACTAAATGGAATTCGTGTTGGTTATTTATGTAACAAGTTGGGCATGATAAATATCTATGCTCCAACTTGAGGGGGAGTGTGAAAGACATTGGAATATGCTGTATAATATGCTTTAGAATATTCTTCTATCTTTAGAATATTCTTCTATCTTTAGAATATGCTTTAGAATATTTTAGGAATATACTCTAAGATATTATTATTGTATAGCATCTTATAGGAATATTCTATCTTTGTAATGTATATATATAAGGACTTATCCCTCCAATGAAATACACAGAAAATTCTTCCATTCTCATTACTATTATATGCTTAATTCTGATAACACGAACTAAGGCAAATCTGCTTTTGTGAAGCTGGTTGCGACAACGACGATACCTGATAATAAATTGGCCGACGGTGTCTAGGAGGGCTTCTAGCTCAGTCTCTAAGTCGCTCGAGTCTGTGACGAATTTTGCCCAAAATATGACGCATCTCCTTAGCCCAATCACTTTCAACCTTTTCCGCCAGCTTCTCTCCTTTTCCGCGCTCGACCTTTTCCGCTAGCTTCTCCCCTTTTCCGCTTGAAGCATCCTGATCAGATCTTCCATGCTCCCTACGAAGTTCCTTTCCGCCATGAGTAGACACACGCTCCTCAATGTTCGTGCGCAAACCAGAACCGATCACTTTCAGTTCTGACCTTCGATGTTCCTTGCGATGCTCCATTTTTTTTATCGCCTGACTTAGATTAGATCGAAGCTTCCCACGAAAATGCTCTGATACCAATGTTAAGTATATGGAAATCTAATGGGAAATTGAAGTAGAATTGAGATGAAATTGATGAAACTTGAAAAGAGATCGTTGGAGACACTTCGAGTACTCTCCTGCACTCCCAAGACCAAAGTCCCCAAACTAATTCCTGCTTGCCCATCTCTTCACCACTCTCACTTATTTATTCTATTTCTAATGGGCCAGCCCACTATTACATTTTATTAAAATACTCAGAATTATTTCTATTATATCTCACTCCATAAGCCCATAAGTCATGGTCCCTATCATATTACCATATTGCTATTAGGAATTTTAACGGAAATATAATACATATACTAATTGGAAACCATTACTAGTAAGAATAATAGGGAAAAAATATTAATAAAGAACTCATCATCATCATTACCCCAGTGCCGCAAAGGCTACCACTTACGGTGAGGTAAGGAGGGTCGGATTAAGCAGTCCTACCCCTGTACAAAAGTACAGAGAGACTGTTTTCGGATGACCCATAGTGAAAATCCCGACAAAAATTGCATGGACTGATTGTTACTTCATAAAAAAGAAATGCAAACAATTTAGTGAGTCATTTTGCTTTACTCCATCATATTCCCAAGCCAAAAAATAGTTAGTATTTGGCTCCATTGCAACTGATGGAAAAATTAATAAAGAACTAATAATAAGAATTATAATAATAATAATAATTATAATAACATGAAAGTTACTTCCACAATCTTTCTCCATGTTCCTTTTGTGCAACTCTATCATGAGACAACCTTATTTTATTAATACCGAATTGTTTCGGACGTGATTGGATGATATTGAAATCAATAGAGATGAAGAACTTCTCCACCCTAGGCTTCAAAAGGTGACATCCAACCTTGTGAAGACTCTAAGGGATAACTCAAAAATTATTGATCACATTAGCAATGAATATGTTACAATAGTTGTTGAAAGATAGAAAGGAAAGGATAATCACTCCAAAATTATTGATCATATTATTAATGAATAAAAAGCTTCAATTTAAACTAGTTTCCAGGGTCCTGGGGGCCACTACTAGAGTAACTTTAAACTTATTACAATATTTCTATCAGGAACGATAACTAAAATAGAATACATATATTGGTAGGAACTACTACTAGTAATACCGATAATAATAATAACAACAACAACAACAACAACAACAACAACAATAATAATAATAATAATAATAATAATAATAATAATAATAATAATAATAATAATAATAATAATAATAATAATAATAATAATAATAATAATAATAATAATAATAATAATAATAATAATAATAATAATAATAATAATAATAATAATAATAATAATAATAATAATAATAATAATAATAATAATAATAATAATAATAATAAAAATAAAAATAATAAAAATAATAATAATAATAATAATAATAATAATAATAATAATAATAATAATAATAATAATAATAATAATAATAATAATAATAATAATAATAATAATAATAATAATAATAATAATAATAATAATAATAATAATAATAATAATAATAATAATAATAATAATAATAATAATAATAATAATAATAATAATAATAATAATAATAATAATAATAATAATAATAATAATAATAATAATAATAATAATAATAATAATAATAATAATAATAATAATAATAATAATAATAATAATAATAATAATAATAATAATAATAATAATAATAATAATAATAATAATAATAATAATAATAATAATAATAATAATAATAATAATAATAATAATAATAATAATAATAATAATACTAGTAGTACTAGTACTAGTAGTGGTAGTAGTAGTAGTAGTAGTAGTAGTAGTAGTAACAGCAGTAACAGCAGTAACAGCAGTAACAATAACAATAAAACCAACAACAAGAATAATACTAATATTATAATATAAGAAAAGAGGTTGCTCGAGTCATTGCTCCCTCTTGGGCATCAAACTTGCCCTCAAACTTGAAGGAGTAAAATGGAATGTCGAGTTCACAAATGGCATTTTTAGGAGACCAATAATCAAGCAATCACATTAAATGATGAGACAGTCGGTACTGTTGATTTGCTATTTTGGGATACCTAAACATAGCAGATGGCCACTATAGGTGAAGACAAAGATAACGGCTGAGCTGGAGTTTTGGATACGAGTAGCGTACAAAAATTCAGTTGCATTGACCCGGGTGATGGCGGGAAGTGGCTTGCAAGATCAAATCCAATGGTGGTGGTAATGGCGTCTGAATTCCTAGATGCAATCAAGTAGAGAGAAGAAAGTAATGTCTAATCTTCTGGCTCCACGATTTTTATGTAGAACAAGCGTTTGAAACGATGTTGGCCCAAGTTCCTCACAATTATAACAGAAACATTTGGCTTGTCTAGCAGTTGCGTCAATTTGGCATAATTTTTCCGCAGAGTTAAAATTCTTGTGTGCAGGGGCTATTTCGACAAAAGCAAGTCATCTTGTGAAAGAATCAAGATCCCCTATAATCGTTGCAAATGTTTTTCTTGAATGAGAACCAATGAGGGAATCAAGTTTCATCACAACAGAAGTAGGATCCTTCATGACTGTTGTAACAGCCTTTGATGTCTCAGAGATCAAGACCTTCAATTCTCTAAGTGTTTTCCTTGAACGTTTTTTGGCCCCGCAAATTTGGAGTTGCACCTTGACGGAGCATTTCCATTAGCGTGGCATCATCTTTTGTCATCATTCCAGCTCAAATAACTTGAGGTACTAGTGTAACGCTCTTTTTTAGGAGAAAGAGACTAAATTGCAATACTAAACTAAAAAGAAGACAGCAATCACACCATTAAAAAGGATTTAATTGTGTAGGTTGAAGAATAGTAATGTAGTGGACTTACTGATGGTGTAGGATTGCAATATTGTTGTCTGTGTCTCTATTTTTGTACAGATGAATTGAAGATTGAGGGCAGCTGGCAATCTTAGGCCCCGAACAAACAGGGGCTGGATGTTGGCTGTCTCTGTTTTTCTTTCTTCTTTATTTTTTTATTTTTGGAATTTGAGAATATTGTTGGGAAAAGAAAATAGGAATTGGTGTGGTTGGGAGATGGATTGTAAAAGATTAATCAAGAACTTCTCTGCCCTATGCAAGAGAAGGTAACACCCAACCTTGTCAATACTTCAAGGAATTACTCCAACATTATAAAGCATATCTAATGAATAGAACAATTCTATTTATACTAGTTCCAAGAATCTTGGGGGCAACATTGGAGTAATTTAACCCCACTACAGTCCTCTTAGATAGGAAAATACTACTACTAAATAATAATAATAGTAATACTAATGGTGGTGGTGTTTATTGATTATGGGGTGTTAATGGCCGGATAGTAAATAATGTGAGGCTTAATTTACCTAGTTTGCCCTAAATAAGGTCAAAAGACCTCGTAAAAAGACAAGTTGACACTTTAATCACTGGAAAATGTTGACAAACCTGAAGGGTTTCTCCACCATTGCTTATGAGATGAAGAAGCATATTTAGAATTGGATATAAAAATTGAAGCAGGGCTGTAGAATCAACATTCTTCAAACTGTTAATGGCCTGCAATAGAATCGCATAATTATTTTGACACCATAAGTTGGGTGCAGATGTCAATAACTACTACTTATGAAAGGAAGAAATGATATTACAGACCCATAAAAATAAGAACAAAACAGCACTAATTTGTTTAAAATCCATCGGAAAAATCATTTTCATTTGCATATGTAATTCATCCACATCTCGGCAGATGTCCTCATAAGAAGTCACTTCAAGTGCATGAAAAGATATGGGACACAAAAGTTTCTGTGTATAAATCCAACTTATAATTTTTCAAGTTCTAACTAAGCCTCATAAGTCATAACTTGAATTGATTTATAAATTTGACTTAAAGAGAGAAAACATGAAAAAGGAGAACTATGCATTTACAAAAGATATAGAAGTAAATTTTAGGCTCACATAGTACTCACCCCATCATACAAGTTCATAAACAAACAATATGATGTTATACATGGAGTTTAAAACAGAAAATAAAATGTCTACATTGTGCTGCGATTTAGCCAATAGTATACTCTAAAGTATGAAGAATAGCATGCAACATTTTCATGGTTTCTAGATTAGAGCAAATACTATTAGAAGTATTTTATAAAATGCGCAGTTCTTTTCAATAATTTACTTAATTGACTTCCAGATTGAATTTTAAGCTGAAATTTTGTGGACACTACACTTCATGAAGAACATTCTCACAAAATTTCATAAAAAAATCCACCGGGAACCACCTCAAACAGCAGATTCCGCACGGCGGTTTCGGTCAGGAGCTCCTGACAGGAACAGTGCTCTAATT